TCTCTCTCTCTCTCTCTCTTGCTCTGTTGCAGGTTACCCAGTCCTGATACTTCCTCCTCCCTCACCCTTGCAATCCTGATGCTCCGATCCCGATTCCCCCTCCCCTCCCCTTCCTTCCCCAATCCCGACTCCCGCTCCCCCTCCCCCCCGCCCTTGCCATCCCGGCGGAAAAAACTCCCCCCGACTCCCGCTTCTCCCCCGACTGCCACCCTTTCTTTCTTCCTGAATCCAGCCTCCCCCTCCTCCCCCACCCTTGCGATCCCGACGCTTCGATCCCGACTCCCCCAATGAGATTTTTACATGTAAAAATGATATATCTAAACAGAAAGTGCAAGATCTTTTAAATACAATTATATTGTTTTTCTAATTTTTTGTTTTTGCGTGTGAGTTCAATTACGAAGTAAGAAAAGTCAGAATCTCCGGAACCACCCAATTAGTCCCATCCATTATACCAAAGAGTCGTCAAGAAACCTTAAGCTCTTCAGTGGATTCTTGAAGGCGCCTTGTGGAGACGACGTTTGACAAAAAAAAACATAAGTTTAGATCATGGTTACGTTCCGGACGTCCGGACCGAGTTCCATACAGTCTAGAGTACCATGTCCGCGCGTACGTACGGTTCAGAGGGTCCGGAAGGTGGGAAATCCAGCAGAATTCTTTTTTGGTAACCGGTAGGCTTGGACCCTTCGTTGGGTCGAGGCCGACCCCATAAAATTGTGTGGGGTATTTTTCCGACCCATTGGGCCTCTGCAGACACGGCCGGACGCACACTTCTTAGGTTTAGTATTTTATTTTTTTCCATTCACAATGCAGTCTTGGTGTGGTCTCGTTTTTGGGGGGAAACGAGGTCTGTTTGAATCGAAACTCCCCTAGCGTCGTCGAGAGTGTTGACGAGAGGCACCTTTTGGGAGAAATACTCGACCGGATGCCAACCGTCCTCGTGACACTATTCCAACACCGCACCAATACCGTATCCCGAAGCGTCCGTAGTCACTTGGGTGGGAAGGGTGGGGTTGTATATACGGAGGGCAGGTGCGGCTTGCATCGGTACCTTCAACGTAGTGAACGCGCCACGGGCTGCGTCGCCGAACTCGAAGGGCACCTTCAGGGACTGAAGTCTCGATAAAGTAGCGGCCACTTTCGAGTATGACTCGACGAATCGCTGATAATATCYAGCCAAACCCATGAAAGAGCGTACATCCGTCGTGCAACGGGGTTCCGGCCAATCCACGATGGCTTGGATCTTGTCCGCTAAGGGACGAATGCCTTTCGGTGTAACATAGTGGCCCAAATACTCAAGCTCCTGCTTGGTGAACTCGCACTTGTCGCGGTTCACTTTGTATTTGGTCAGTCGCAAACGATCCAAAACAGCGCGAAGGTGTGTGATGTGCTCGTCCAACGTCCTATTATAAACTAAGATGTCGTCGAGGTAGATGAGGACAATGCGATCGAGCAAGTCGCAAAACTCAGTCGTCATAGCTGCTTGGAAAGTCGCGGGGGCATTGGTGAGGCCAAATGGCATGACAACCCACTCAAAATGTCCGTACCGCGTCTTGAACGCGGTCTTGTACCGATCTTGAGGCTGGATTTCAATCTGGTGGTAACCCGACTTCAAGTCCAACTTCGAGAAGTACGTCGCGCCGCAATCCGAGGGAGAGGGCTGACGTTCTTTACGGTTTGTGCGTTAAGTTTGCGATAATCGATGCATAACCGTAGATCTTTGTTCTTCTTCCGGACGAAGAGAACAGGGGCACCGTATGGCGAGCAACTAGGGCGAATCCAACCATTGTCGAGAAGGTCATCGAGTTGTGCGCGAAGCACCTCGAGTTCCTCTTCGCTCATGCGATAGATACATCCACGCGGAGGGACGGCGCCAGCCTCGAGAGTGATCCCGTGACGTATGGGCCGATCCGGAATCGTTCTGGTGGGAGCCTCGAAGACGTCTCTATACTCGTCCAAGAGGTGAGAAATGCGTGGGTCCGACGGTGACGCGACTGGTCCGTCCGGCGAGGGGAGAGCATGCAAGAATACAAGGCCCATCTCCTCGACGTCATTCCGAGCTATGGCGTCGCGAACTCTCGCAACGGAAACCACGTGACAAGCAATCGAAGTGTGAGGGGTCGCGACCGTACATGGGACTAACACTCCGTTCCGATCACGGATGTGAACGGTTCGGTCATGAAAGTTCACCGGATGATCGGCGCTACGCAACCAAGACATGCCTAAAATCATGTCGAACTTGGTGTCGAGGATGTCAAAAGACACCGGCTCGCACACAAGTGGCGCAAAGTATACCGGGACGCCGTCGACGCATGGGTCAATCGACTTTTGCGTGCGGCCGTCCGCGAGTGTAACTTGCGTGGGTTGCGTCTTCCTTCGAACGCGCGAGCCAAGGCCTGCGCGGGCCATAAAGGTTTGGCTCATAAAGTTGCGAGACGCTCCGCAATCAATCAAGGCACTACAGGTTGCCTTTCTGATTTGAATGCGGATATAGAGCAAAGGAGCGTCGGTTTTGGCGTACCTTTGGGTGGCGTACTCGCGGTCAATCTTCGCAAGATAGGAGCGGAGATCGACAACCGCTACTCCATCGTCCGTCAACGGAGCTGGTACTGTAGTGTGCAAATAGGAGCGTAGATTTGCCATCAAGGCGTTGCAATGCGGCCTTGGCAACGTTCCGGTCGAGGGTAGAGGCATCCAAGCAAAGTCCTCTCTCGTGAGCGGGTCAAGCTCCTCAAGTCTTGACCACGCCGTCGAGTCCTCGGAAGTTAGTGGCGAGCTGACCGGATCACTTGCCGACGGTGTACAGACTGCGCATACGCAATCTAAGTGCACGTGGCTTGGCTGGTCTAGTGGTGGTACCAGCTGGGCGGCATAATCCTCGTACGTAGCACGAGAATCAGCCACTAACGCATGCTCCCCGGTAGTGACATCGATTGCTAGCAAGGCAACCAGGTCCGGCGGAGTGAGGAGAGACGTCGCCCCTCTCCTTGCGTAACTCAGTTTCCCGAGTTAGCTGGACGGGTTACGCGTGCCTTGCCCTTTTCGGGGCATTGTGCGGTCAAGTGAGTGACTCCACTGCACCAAAGGCAATATCCGTACCGTTGACGAAGGTCATAGATTTCCTTGGTTATCTTGTATGCTGTCCATGGCTGCTGCCCAGTTCCCGTCGATGCCGTTTCTTGTGTCGCCTTGTTCTTCCGAACTCTCTTGGGACGCTTCGGCGGGAGCGCTGCTACAATTCCTCCATCACTCGAGGATGCTGCTGCAGCGTGGAGATCGACTGTTTCGTTAGAAATCACGACATTATTATGTGTCGGTCGTTGATAGCCCGACTTAGCCACATAATGCGGCTGGGACTGCCGTTCGTTTGCGGCCTTGTCATCCGTTTGGATGACCAAGTTCGCACGATCCAGGATGGCCTGGAATGAGGCGTAATCGTACTCGTTGTCGAGTGCGGTTTGCAGTCCTGCGCACGATCGCGAGAATAACTTGGATCGTTGGTTGGTAAAACTCAAATCGAAGCCTGGCGTGGTCACTATCTTTTGCCACTTGGTTGTCCAATCTCGAGTTGGCATACTCCCTTGAGAGCAGGTGTATACCTCGTTCATGGCCGCCTTCATGACGTTGCGGACCATGAATCGAGTGAACCACAGTTGCTCGAACTCCTTCCACGTGATGTGCGTGTGGAGTTCAGCGATGGAGCATTTCTTGGTAGCCGCCAGATGGTTCATCCACGCATGTGCTCCTCCTATCAGTTGTAAGTAGAGCGCCTTCATCATGTCGTCAGCCGGGACAGTGCGGCATGATGCTTCCGTGAGGAAACTTTGCCACCATGTCAAGGCATCCATCTTGTTGTAGTCGTCGAACTTGTTGATGGTGAAGTGCAGCATCTTGTAGTTCCTTGTAGCGGCGTCCGGTCTTGTCTGCAATTTGGTGATGTCCGTCTTGATGGCGGCCACCGTGCTGCTGATCGTGGCCGGACTAGTGAAATCACCTAGTTCGCCAATGATGGTGACAACGTGATCGATGCGCTCGTTGAGCTGCTTCGTCGCGTCTGTCGTGCAGCCTGGCGCTGCAGAGGTCTTAGCCTCAATGTTGTTGATGCGCGCGAGAGTGGAGTTCAACAGTTGTTGCTGTTGCTGCTAATGTGTTGCTGCGGCGCGGACGTCAGTTGTTAAAGCACCCACCTCTTGCTGGTGCTTTTGCCTTTGCTGTCGTTCCGTGAGCAGGTGTGCTTGCAGCAGTTTGTTGTTCCACATTACTCCCCTCATCACGCTCAACATCACCGTAACCAGGTTACTTCTCTCTGCCTCCGCCTGTGTCGGATCCGCCTGCGTGTCCGTAGACACAAAGAACATGCCTTGGAGTAAAATTGTCCACTGATTCTCATTTTGAATCAGGGACTCCGTGCTGGCGGCATTCCGTCTGTCTCGTGCCGCTGCGTCAGCCTCAGCAGTCTGCTGAGCTTGGGCTGCCGCCTCATTGGCCAGCCACTGACGTTCCGCCTCTGCTGCCTCCTGCTGAGCCTTGGCGGCAGCTACGGCATTTGTGAATTCCTGCAACCGCCCAAGGTAGTCAGCCAACAGTTCAAGGGCCCCTTGGACCGGACATGCGGGAAGAACTCCGGTGGTAACCGGTATTGTCAGTGTTGTACTCGATGCCGCTGGAGTCGTCCGCTTGCTGAGCCGCTGTTGCTGATACTTGCTTCGTGGAGGTACCACAGGACGGGTACGAACTGCGAGCCTCGCAGTGCGTCGTGGCAGTGCCCCGGTGTCCTGTTCCATCGACATCACCTCTGGCTGATGTGGTACTTGAGAATTCCCACTGGTCACAGATTACGGGGAGGGTAGGGAGAGTGGGAACAAGGGTAGAACAATCAAGCACTTCGCATACAGTCCCTGTCCCACTGATGGACTTTAGACACCTAATCAAACAGAAAAAAAATAAATTTTCCCGTAAACAACGCAAAAAATTCGTAATAAGAAAATAATAACGAATTATTTAATCAATAGCGTTTAATTAATACGAAATAATAATTCTTAATGATAATCAATAAAACAATGTTTGCAATAATGATTTCTTAATGACAATCAATCAAACAATATTTGCAATAATGATAATGAACAAATTTGAATTGTATCAAGATTAGGTATCCGTTGAGATCAATTATGGTCCGGGAGTTCACCGTTAATTAGTGAACTTATGTGGAAGTTGCAATTCTGAGGGTCAAATTCGGATTAGTTTGCCAAAAAAAAATTCAAAAAAATCAGAGGAAAAACACCCGAATTTTCAAAAAACGTGAAATTTCGAAAATTCCCACTGGCAAAATCCGATTTTTAAAGGCCTAAGTCCGTTTTCGAAATTTCTCAATCAAGGGAGAGAAAAAAAAATTCGCAAAAATTTCGGGGTCCAACCCTAATTTTCCGCGATTCCGCGGAATTTCCGGATTTACGGTTCCAAAACGTTTGAATTTCCCAAGTTGATCGAAAACCAAAAATTTTTGTAACCCTAATTTCCCATACAGCAATAAAACGGAAATGTCGATTTAGAAAACGAAATACAGGATTAAAATCAGAATGCTGGATTATAAAAACGGAAACCGAATTGAAATCCGAATGCCGAATTAAACAGAGTACTGATTTATGCGAGGATCAGGGTCCTTGGTAGGCCTATGGGGCCCTGTCTGCAGCCTTACCCACCCTAAGTGAAGGCGGAGGTGCCCGCCCTAAGTGAAGGCGGGCCTGGCTTTTTGCAAAAGGCCTTCGACTGTCAATTTCATATTTGGGGTTCAGGCAGTTGCGACGCGCCAGTTGGTTGAAAGAAACACAGGCCGAGCAACAAAGACATTTCCACGGCCTACCGGGCCTTTCCAAAGAATGCAGGCCCTGGCCGTGATTCGCAGCCTCATACAGAGAGAGTTGGGCGCCCAACCGAACGAGGCCCAGCAGCCCAGTAGCTGGCAAGCTGCTGCATCCAGGTAGCCTCCTTGGGCCTTCCGGAAGCTTCTGGGCCCAGGCCAAGGCAGCCAGGCTGCGTGAGCAGGCCAACTCTTTCCATAAAGGAAAGAGCTCGGCCCTGGCTGCCTCATTCAGGCACTCGCATGCTGGGCGGCAGCGCTGCTGGAGCTTATGCTCGTAGGCTGCTGCTAGCGCTGGGAGGCGAGGTGCAGCACGTGCGGTCGTGCAGAGGAGGAGGGCGCTGCTGAGGGCAGCGCCATAGCCCAGCCACCATAGCTGGTGGGCT